AAAAAAGCCACCAACAGGCAATTAGGATATGAAGTTTAGACGACTACATAGACAAAAACAGATACTTCTAAGTCATTTAGTGATTTTTCCACTTTCTTCCAACTTCAATATCCATTGGCAACCAGATATTTTTAGCATACACAGTAGTGCTGGTGACTGATGTATACAACAATCAAAACCTTGACATCTCATTATTGAAAAGACTGACCAAAATATCATCATCATACCTGTATCCCATGTAAAATCTCAGGCATTGGAAGTTCAGGAAAATGAGCGAGGTCAACATATCCCAACTCCTCTGCCCTTTTAGCAGCACCCTCAGCTTGTAAACAGAGAAATTTCAATAAAAGAAATGTAATTCTGTACATCTCAATGGCAACTAAGTCTGAGAAGTATGTTTGTGAAACATGGTTGTTGCTTTCAGTTCCTTGATCTTTGATCACAAGAGCAGTTGTAGTTAATATGCCAGAGAACTTCGGCTTTGAGACACAGCCAAGGGGTGAAAGAGCAAACCATCCATTTCTGCTGTTGACAAATGAAGGTTTTTTGCAGCAATCAAACTCATCCTTGAGGATAGGACGGCATAACAGAGGAGCGGTCCGGCTTGAAGCCTCTCCAAGGCGTTGATTTCCACGGCTAATGAAGGCCAACAAATGAATACTCATCTCCCTTAATTGTGAATCCGTATTTTTCATAGCCTTAACCCATGATTTCCAATGTCTTGCCAGGACACACATTAGGATGAGAGTTTGCTCAGTCTCCTTCAAAGAAGAAAGAGAAGTCCAAGTCCTTTGTGCACGTGGTCTTTTCTTGTCATGATCATCAGATGGAAATTCTGGTGCACTGAGAAAATAAGAAATTAGATGGGCTTTCTCTGAAAAGAAGTATGGTATCACATTTTCCACAATATCAATACACGAAGAACTGGCTCCTAAAGAGTGAACTATAGCTGTGACCACAGCTAAGCCAAGTCCCCAGATGGGTTGAGGCTTCTCAGTCTTGTCCGATAAGATGGAGAGGCTTTTGCCAGAATTAATAACTGAAGAAACCCGACCATCTGACATGTCAGCATATAAAACTTTAAGAGATGAGAAAAACCCAGCATTAAGAAGCATTTCAGCACCTCCTCTCACACGTGCAATGGCCAAGAAGAACTTCAATAAAATAGGAATAGATCCAAAAGAATTCTTATCTTGAAGTTTCAGAACAACATGTTGCAATTGGAGATGTTTATGTATGATGGGAAACCACGTATCAGGCGTCAAAAAACATTTTAGTGCCAAGTCCAAAGCAGTCAGGGAGAGGGGAAAACACTCAGAAATAGTAGTACAGTTGCACAAGATGGGTAACAGTCCAAGGCTGACGTTAGAAATCTCAGCAAACCCTTCAACAGACTCTTTATCTTTCACACCAGTTCTGTTAGAATCAAGCTGGTAAAACTCCACTGCTGACAGAATCAACATTAGCAAAAGCTTCATTGTTTTATTCACCCCACTAACCATTGTTCTGAGGTCAATTAGCACTTTAAGACCAGTTCCAGAAGTTTTTAAGACAAGAACACAAGCAGATGATGACAGGCTATTCTGCACAGATCTCATGAGATGAAGAAGTAAGTCTGCTTGTGCAGTGAGGAAATCAAAGACACCTTGAGAGACATCAGGAACTGGAGATAAAAATTCTATAGTGTCAAGGAAACTTTGGCATATGTGATCAATGCATGGCAAAATTAGTTGATCAGGAATCTTCCCTCCAACCCCAGTCATTTTTTCCAGCGACTGCAACAACAGGTAAACATGAATTAAAATTCTAACAGAAGCAAGGCAAACAAGAAACAAGAATTGAAAAGCTTTCCAAAATCAACAGATAAAAATTCTGAATGATATAACAAGACACAAATGCCTCAGAAAAGACTAAGAAAACCGTTAGAATAAGTTTTAGATGCCAGTACCTCAAAACAGAAGGTAAAATCATCTTAAACATCTCCTTCCTTATGGTTTTTAGACTCTAACTAGAGCTATGACTTCTAGAACTATATTTCATTTCTTTATAAATGCCATACCATTATGTTTTTGAGAGTCTGCAAAACAATTTGTCCCATTTGTAGTTTGCCACTTTTAACGCTACAACCCTATTATCTGTAGGCCCTAGGACCTAACTTCCCCATCAATTTGATGATAAAGGTAACTTCCCCAGTAAAATATTGATTAACAAAAAGTAGGTAGAGCATCCCAGAGTGAATAAACATTTAAATAGTTTGGACATGGTTTCCCACAATGAACTCAATAATAATCAGCCTCTAACATTTTAGCCTATTTTTAAATTCTCAAGATTTCCCAGTCCCTCTGGCCACAGAAAAAATGTAGCGTCAATCTCTGCATAGCAAACATTCAAACAGCAGCAATAAAAAAATTGGAACTCAGAGAACTTACACTATCATCGTACACAGTTAAGACAGTAATCAATGCTTTCAGTGAAGAAAGCTTGGAATTTCCAATTAACACCATTGAGTTTGCTCCCTGCATGTAGCACAGCATTGTGTCTGCAATTGTTTTAGATGTTTTCCATCCAGAATAATCCCACATATCTAACCCCAAATCTGCTTCTATGCGTCGAAGATCAAACACATAGACATCATCAGCAGTAGAAAAAGGGTCAACACTGCACTTATTCTCATAAATCTTCACCACCTTTGATTCAATCAGAAACTGGAAGAGTTCTTTAAAGGGTCCAGGACTCATTTTACGACCTTCCAGCTCTCCATGCAGATGATAATAAAGATCGCTGATTATTAAAGCTTTCAATTCCTTCCCTTCACTAAAACGAAACCAAGAAAAAAAATTGTAGATGGCATTAAATAAGTGAAAAGAAGAACTAGAGTTACCCAGTTTGAGTAACTAAAATACTAACACATACATAAACCTTTCAGAATCATTAAATTTTCATATCACTCATTGGCATCTTTATTCTAGACCTTTATTCATATGGATAGTGCCTCATCTGGAGGCATAGTGCTTAGATATAAGTTTCGACAACATGATAGGTGTTTGATCTTTACCTGTAACCACGCTGTGAGTATTGCACCAGCAATTCAGAAAAAGCAGGCTGAATGGTCAACTGCCAACAGAAAAAAACAACCATACACCAAAGTTAACATGAAGTGACATAAAAAATAGAAGTGGAAGGGAAATGAAAATTTCATATTGCAATTATGAATTATTAATTCAATGTGTCCTCAGGAACTCCTAAAAAGGAACATTTTAGCCATGGAATAGATACAGATTCTAAATCAGACTTTTTTCGTTTTTCCAAAAGAAAAGTCAGAATAAATAAAAAAATGGCATTACCTTCTTAAACAGAAGCCGAATCTTCTCGACTAAAGATACAGACAAACTTCCAGCATCACCAGCTGCTAATTTCCCCATTATGTGCACAGTGAGTAAACTTAATGCGACCTGCAAAGTAGCTTTATTTTCAACATCACCAATTTGGATAATAAGAGGAGGTCAAAACAACATATCAGAGGCAAATTAAGAAACAGTTTGTTCATCTGGGAGGAAACTTTTCTGCAACATTGGATGGATTTTCAATTTCAAAACTTGCTTTGGGTGATCAACGGTTTCAAAAAAACCCAACTCTTTTTTTCCCATAATACCTCCTAATCAAACCTTATTTTCATACAATGACAATCATTTAAGTGTTGCAAATTATAGGAGCTTTTAATGTGTTTGCCCACCATCCTACACCGCCCAGAAAAGGAAGTTTTGTTCAACATCCTCACACTCCCACCACTTCCCCTGCAAATGAGAAAAGAAAGGGAAGAAGAGAAAACTCCCAAACACTCAAGACATTAACAAAACATTTAAGATATATCCTAAATTGATATCATAGGCCGATGAGAGGGTACACAGGTGTTCAACTGGGAACAGCAGTAGTATCCAAGTCAACATGCAACTGGTAAGAGCATCTACAGATATATATGAAACATGAAAACAAAAAGTTACCTTTGCACGAAAATACGTATCATTGTCATATTTACAAGAAGTATATGATTTGATCATGCTTCCAAGAACAGAGCTCTTCCACCAATTTGAAATTATATCCTTCAGAGCATAATTATCAGCTTCTATTTTCTTATTTGATTCAGGCGGTTCTTTAATGAGTGATTCAGCATATAACAACTTTTTCATCAAAAACATATCATATGCCATTGTTTCCAATATAGCTGATTGACACTGATATCTGTATCCCAGGTGTAAAGCCTCCGATTCTTTCATACTTAAAGGAACTTCGGAGCCAGCAGTTTGAGAGAGAGAGTTTGACAATTGTTTCCAGAACTTGTCAGAGCTTTTCAGCCTCTCCAAAATCGTTTTGTACTGACCAGCCCCATGCCACAATGACTTCAGCAAGTTAAGTATGTTCAGCAGTATGCAGGGATTGCTGGAGATGATAGTGTGTCAGTGTTTTTCAGTTGAAACCATGTTATACATACCAAAACAAGCATCACAAAATCAGACTATGCACGTTAGTGCTAAAGTAAGTGACAAAACCAGGACAAAGGCCTTCACCACACAAAATACCTATTGACAGCATCGTCAGATCTTACAACATATTGAAGAAGGGCATCTACAACACTAGATACTTGGG